AGTAATTTGTAGATATGTATTTTTATTTAATTTTTGTTATCTGGTGTTACTCTTTCGGTTGTTTCTCACACATTGTTATCCTTAAAGGTAACAAACAAAACAGATTTATTTGTAGAAAGATAAAATGAACAAGAAAAGTGAAACAGATGAAGGTGTATAGTAAGTGTACAACAAAGAACAAATATAGGTTTATATTCACGCAGAACAGAAAATAAGTTTGGTCATTTCTTATGAAACTTACTCTATGAGAGTACAGACCTTGAAATTTGACAGGCTTCTTTTCAACGTTTTTGTGTGACTTTATGCTGTAACTCTTCAAGATGGCTAGGTGGTTAGGGCGCTCGACTCGCAATCCGATGGTCACGGGTTCGAATCCTTATCCCACCAAATATGCTCGCCCTTTCAGACGTGACGGCGTTATAACGTGACGGTTATCCCACTATTCGTTGATAAAAGAGTAGCCCAAAAGTTGGCGGTAGGTGGTGATGACTAGCTGCCTTCCCTCTAGTCTTACGCTACTAAATTAGGGACGGCTAGCGCAGATAGCCCTCGTATAGCTTTGCACGAAATTCAAAAAACAAACAAACAAACAAACTCTTCAAGACAAGTATCTTCACTGAAGAAAGGCAGGAAGAACTGTGTAAGTTAAATACTTCTGGTCAGACCAATACTCTAATATTGTATCTTACAATTTTAAGTTAGATACATCAGTAATCTTTTGCTTTAACTTATCGGATATACAAACCTAAGGAACTCTCCCTCGTTTGGGTATAATCCACACCCCAGGGTGCGGCGATACAGAAGCTGTCAAGTTCGAGTTCTCTTGAAGATCACTGTCACATGCAACCTCTGTCTAAGAGAATAATTAGAGCAGGGTAGGGCTGAATATATCCTGATTGCAAATGGAACACTTCACCATGAAACTTATGAGGAATTCGCCCGAAGAAAGGTATGTTCACTTGCTAAGTTATGGAAAGATAAAATTTGACACTTTTGAACTGCCACGTGGAATCATACCGAAAAACTACTACACTATGACAGACTTTTATTCAGAGGCGTCGCTGGTCGCTGGCGTACGGGGGCCGTGCCCCGAATCCCCAGCTGGTGTCTTGAAAAATCAGAATAGAAAATCATGATCGATATCACACTGAAACGCCGAAAATTCTGGCGCCTATGGGCTCGAGCCCCGAATCTTTTAAGCACTTAGCAACTCATCTGCTTTTATTGTATACCATGACAGGAAATACTGACAATGCAGTCACTACGTCTTCAAACGGAGCTAAAGACGTCAAACTCGAGAGAGAAATGAATACGAAACATAAAACCCAGCATATTATAATTAATGTACAATTGTTTATGAAAAATAAATGTCCACTAAATCCATAAAAAAGTCAGTTAAAGTTACTTATTGCCCAACTTTTCATCACGTATACTAACAGCGGATTAGTCTTAGAGTATACATAACATACTTAACTAGCTACTCTGACATTTAGTGCTAATATCATATTAATGCTAAAAAAAATAGCCCTACTTATCACACACATACACACACACACAATCGATAATGACTTAGCAGTAGTCATAAGCCGTTTTTGCTATAATGTATTGTAAATTTCTCCGATAAACCGAAACTCTACACAGTGAATAAAGCTAACCACTTTCGTGGAGTTAGTGATTGTTGACTTCAGAAAAAAATATGTTAGATTTCCAGTATACGCTACAAAGTTAAGAGTAAAAAAAAAAAATAATGTTATTGTTACATCTATGTATGTTCTTCTTTGCTTTCTACATCAGTTTTGGTTTCATTTCTCTATAAATGAGTAAAACTAGAATAGCAGCTTTATGTGTTTAGAATGTTTAATGCAGAAATATTATTCATGTAGATCGTATTATACACGTGTCGACCAACTTGACATTTTGTATGCCATTTCCGCAACTTTCGAGACCCGGCATGGCCTGGTGGTTAGAACGTTCGACTCGCAATCTGAGGATCGCGGGTTCGAATCCCCGTTACAGAACATACTCGCACTTTCACCCGTGGGAACATCGTTGGTAAAAAGAGTTGGCGGTGAGTGCTATTGACTAGCTGTCTTCTCTCTAGTCTATCACTGATAAAGTTAGGGACGGCTAGTGCAGATAACCCTCGTGAGCTTTGCGCGAAATCCAAAACCAGCCCAACTATCGCGTTGTCTTGAAAGGAGTATAGTAAAACAAACAAACAAAATAATGACCTTCAACTTTCGAGATAGGCCCGGCATGGCCAGGTGGATAAGGCGCTCGACTCACAATCTGAGGGTCGCGGGTTCGAATCCGCATCCCACCAAACATGCTCGCCCTTTCAGCCGTGGGGGCGTTATAATGTGACGGTCAATCCCACTATTCGTTAGGTAAAAGAGTAGCCAAGAGTTGGCGGTGGGTGGTGATGACTAGCTGCCTTCCCTCTAGTCTTACACTGCTAAATTAGGGACGGCTAGCGCAGATAGCCCTCGTGTAGCTTTGCGCGAAATTCCAAAACAAACAAACAAAATCAACTTTCGAGACGCACAATTTTAAAGTCTAATTCTCTTGTACATTAAAATAAAAAAAATCATCATATAATTTTGAATATTCTCACATTCGCTGTCAGTTTTACATTGATGCACTTAAAAAGCAATGAGCATCACAGCTCTCATCTCAGTCTAAACATGCTTAGAAATAAAGCTGTTAATTTTCCTAAGTTTATACATTAGGTGATCCATGTTGTCAGTCTTATTTAGGATACAATAATGTTCTTTACGAAATCGGAACTTATTAAGAAGAGACCATTCTTTTGGTAAAGACCGGTTAATGTTTGTTTTTGAACTACGTTTTTCAAGCAGGATATCCACACACGTGTATGGAACATGATCAGATTTCAGAAGTCGATGTCCCTATTACAGGTCAGATTTCTGAGAACGTTTCGCTATAAACAAGCTCTTTCTTTACACCAAGAGTAGGATCATTCCATTTCTCTAATGTCGATTACAAAAAATTAAGTTATTCAAGTTCAACATCTTCGCCTTAGATGTGTTGATGTTAAAAACTTAGTGTATATTCTGTATTGACTGATGATGGCATGGTGGTTAGGGCACCTCGGCTCGAATTCCGTCACCGAACATGCACTCCATGTCAGTTTGTGAGGGCGTTATCATGTGATGGCCAATCCCATTTTTCGCGGGTAATGAGTAGCTCAAGAGTTGGCGGTGGAATGTCTTGACTAGCTGCCTTCTCTCTGGTCTATCACCTCTAAATTTGGAGCGGCTAGCGCAGATATCCCTCGTGTAGCTTCGCGGAAAATTCGACAAACAGACAAAGTATTGACTGATTCCTGATTTAATGTCGCTAGATGTTTGTGAGACTTGCAAGAATCATGTGTGAGTGAGGGTGTAGTCAACGCTACAAAGTGGGTGGGGAGGAGGCCTCCCCCCAAAATGTTAATGTTGTAACTACAACCACTTAGACTCATCCTCATAGTAAAACAGTGTTAGATATCAAAATGGCGTCACATAACCCGTGTTCCTACTACAGGCTGATTTCATCACGCTGACCACTGTTTCGTTGTTTATTCTGATCACATAGTAAAACCGTTAACTACTCATAAAATATTCATTTCGTGCCAAGAACATCGCCCGGCTTTGTGATAAATAGTCTTTATTACAGCAGTAATTTTGTGAAATTAATATTTCAAATTTCCTTTCAGTGCTTCGCCACTTTACAGTACTCATACTTTAACGTGAAAAGTGAAAGAAAGGTTCCTAGTTCGGATGCTTGACCAAACACACACTTTGTCTTCTCCCCACGCGCTTGGAAATACTTGCCATTGCTCAATTTAAGAATGTATGAGGTCAGTATTTCTGGAAATTTGTTTGTAAGGTCATTAAAAGTTGTGTTGGTAATTAATGCTACACTATTGTGAGTTGAATAAAACCAAAAACTATCAACGGGCATTGGCTAATATCCAGCGTACTTTTTTCAGAAATTTCGTGAGACTGGAAAAGGAGTTAGATCAGAATGCCGATTCCTTATGGAGGGGTGGGGGGCATAAGAGAATGTGCTAGGTTTGGTGGCAGTCGGTTCAACGGTTCGCCAGTTATAAGCGGACACACACAGACTTTTGTCAAATAATGGTTGAGATATATATTATGTGAGTGACAAGAAGGTAGTATAACGCAAGACATTTTTATAAAAAATTAAATAAACGTGAATTCAACCACAAAGTATATTGCCTGACGTGAGTTCAACAACAAAGTATATTGCCTGACGTGAGTTCAACAACAAAGTATATTGCCTGACGTGAGTTCAAGCACAAAGTATATTGCCTGACGTGAGTTCAACAACAAAGTATATTGCCTGACGCGAGTTCAACAACAAAGTATATTGCCTGACGCGAGTTCAACAACAAAGTATATTGCCTGACGTGAGTTCAACAACAAAGTATATTGCCTGACGCGAGTTCAACAACAAAGTATATTGCCTGACGTGAATTCAACAACAAAGTATATTGCCGAATATGAAATATGAAAATATTGTTTTTAACTCAGTTTATAGTGCATGCACGTTTTTTCTTCTTCTAACGTTATATTATATGTTAAAAAACTTCTTATTGAGCCTAGTGTGTTTACGTCTGTCGGAGACAACTGTATACTCCACTATAATCGAAACTACAGGCGAGTCTTTCTGTAAAATCATCAATACGTTCGTTAAATCTTAATACCAGCTGTCTATGTAAACATAGTAAACAGGATTCCATTTTGATCAATATAGCGGTTTCATCCACTGTTACTGGAACTCTGAGAAAAATAAATCAATTACCAATTCAGTCTTCTGTTAAATCGTGTTACCAGCGTTGGAAGCATAATTAATGTATTTTTCTTCCCCACGTTATTGTATTTTCATCTGAATGTTCTTAATTTAGGTTCATTTTAACGTAGACATTTTTCGAGAAGTTCGTGTGACAACTTTGCTAACTTTTCTGTTTTTAGGTGATATCACCCAAAAGGGCTATGAGAAAAAGAAAGCCAAACTGTTGGGATCATATCTTCCTAGCCATGCTCCAGGTAAGCAGTACTGAATTTTCATTTTAAATAATGTTCATCTCTGTAGGATTAACCGTAATTTCGGAATAAGTAATCTTCAATCTGATCAGTTTTCTGGCTGATATAAATTATATTAATTGGTTTCATTTTTGTTCTTATTTTACTTTATTGCATTTTAATTTGTGCATTATTATTATTACTTTTGATATTCAGATAAAGGAAGTTCACTGCAGTTTTTTCTTTTTTTTTTAGTCTTAGACATATAAGTAATTCTTATTTATTAAGAATTTTCAAACCTTTTCACACACATGCATGTTTCGGCGTGCTTATGGATTTGGCAGTAAAGACTTAGCTATGAAACGAGGCTAAATTATTGTTGTCACTTTGGATACCTATTGTACTGGGCCATTCCCCTTTTGTATCACATGCGCTTTGTTTTACTTTTTGGATGACCAACAGTGACGTGGGCGACGCCCACACTCTGAGAAAGTGTTGGTTTCTGTTTGATTTCTCGGTATTAAGAGGTTTCATCGAGACTTTATTCAGTGTTGTCTCAGAATAGGACCTTGCAAGATCTCTTAACGCTAAGAAAGAGGTGCTTTCTAGTTCTCAAATGTTTCTACACATTGGGCCCAATCAAGGTCAGAAACTCGCATTTTTTGGGCAATACATTTTCTGATCAATCACCAGTTACTTGTGGATTACTGTATATGGTTTCTGAACAGGAAATCGGTGAAACGCAATCGTTTTAACTGTAGTATTCCAGAGTTAAGTTTTCAGTCCTTAACACCAGGTGGTATGGGGTCACAATGACCCAACGCTGGCATTCTAGGGTATTCTATACAGTAGTAGTGGAAATTAGATGTTATTTTCCAGTTGCACGATTTTAATGTGAACTTGCATTACATGTCTATATGTTTTCGTTCTATTAATAATGTAATAATTAAACATTCGTGAAAATTTTACTTTTGCGCTTGTATTAAATAACTTAGCGCATATCGTAAAAAAGCATATAACAACTTGCTCTGACGCATTTATTCAAAAGTAATATTTTAATCATTAAATAAATCATTTGATAACAACAACAACAACACTTGATATAATCACAGTGAATTCTATATAAGCAATAAATAAATAATCTGATAACGGTTAATGCAAAATCAATCAGAGCAGCATGTTGCTGGTGAAACTATACATTTGCCTCGGTAGTTTATAGTAGGCCCGGCATGGCCAGGTGGTTAGGGAGCTCGTCTCGCAATCTGCGGGTCGCGAGTTCGAATCTCCGTCCCACCAATCATGCTCGCCCTTTCAGCCGTGGGGGCGTTATAATGTGACGGTCAATCCCACTATTCGTTGGTAAAAGAGTAGCTCAAGAGTTGGCGGTGGGTGGTGATGGCTAGCTGCCTTCCCTCTAGTCTTACACTGCTAAATTAGGGACGGCTAGCGCAGATAGCCTTCGTGTAGCTTTGCGCGAAATTCAAAACAAACAAACAAACAGTTTATAGTATCAAATCATAAGCCGAGGGATGTGTAGACAGATCAACATAAACAAGTATCTTTTATCATGAATATTTACCTTACGATTTTGACCGGTATTCCATGTCAAAATAGTAAAAAGTGTATGGTAATAAGGAAGAACAAGACTAAGAAAGAAACATTTTTTTCCCCCACTTGTTCGTTCAGACAGGCAAGGATTTTGAGTTACTTGCTCGAATCAGGCAACAATTAGGCACCACAGGGCAACAATTTTAATAACTAAGTCATAAGACGAGTTTCTTCCCCGGTGGGACAGCAGTAAATCTACGAGCTTACAACGCTAAAATCCGAGGTTCGATTCCCTCGCGGTGGACACACCATTTAGTCCAGTGTGGCTTTTCAATTAAGCAAATAAGATAAGACCAGTTTTTTTAAATTTTCAGTTTGAAAGACATTGCTGTACCGATTTGATTTAATTAGGTTTAAACTTAATTTAATGTTGAATTAGTAAGTTCACGTTTACACGGAGAGTACTCTCGTCCCTGTTTGTCCCTTACCAAAATGTTGAAATAACGAGGGTGTATAGCGCACGAGTCAAAACAGCAGATATAACTCTCTCTACGGTACAGTGTTTATAGCTCATTTTAATTTCCAGTTTATTTTGAACACTTTTTTACATATTCTTTCCCAAATTATCATGTTTCTACTTTGGTAACGTATTTTGTCGTATACCGGAATTTAGTAACATCTGTAACAACGACTAATTTAGACACTTTGGTGTTGTTATGGTTACCTGCCATGGATATCCATAATTTCTCAACTTTAATAAATTATTATATTACTATTGCATGATAAAAATTGTGTGTGCTGTTTCAGGTTTTTTTTTTGTGTGTGTATACGTGTTCGTAATTATTTTAATTTTAGTTAGAGAAAAAGTCCGCTTGACACACGTGAATCACTTAGAACTTGGACTGAAAATAAAACGGTCCTTTCATAAAGTAAAATTGTAGGAAGGCTGAAAACGATCTTGATACGTCGCAAGTTTAACATGTAAAATTTGGGGCGTTATAATGTGACGGTCAATCCCACTATTCGTTGGTAAAAAAGTAGCCCAAGAG